TACAAAAATGTCTTTTTTTTTTTTTAAAAGATCACAAGGATAAGATGGATGATCATCGGCATTAAAAATGGAAACGGAACAAATGTATAACAACAACAACAAAATCTGTGAAAAATAAATCAAGATTATTTGTAAAAACTAAGATATAAGCTAGATATATAATAAGGTCCGTTGTCACGACTGAGTTTAGTTTCGGTGTTCCAAGTAGGGCGTATTTCAAGGAAATTTAGTGTAGTTTATTTTTGGCGCCGATCAATAACCTTGCATCCTTTCTAGTTTATAGTATGATTAGTTATGGAAAAATGTTCCACTAGAGCCAATTTCAATACGTTATTGTGTCAGCAGTCACGTTTATGGTCCGAAGTATAGCTTACAGTGGGTGGTTTGTTTGGAGGATGTACACTGCTAAACAGTCTAAACAAGGAATGTAGTATACCACACTAGCCTGTACTAATATTGTCAAGAGTACGTCTGGGTGGGATAGCATTTGTCACCATACTATTAATGGTTTGAAGGCATTTCTTATACTGAGAAGCTTCAATGCTCTTTTGATTCCATTCATAACGGTCATGATATAATTAAAAGTTGAAGAAATTAAGACTTAGGCTAGAGTTACGTTAGAGTTCTATAGTGGTGTAAGGTTTTACAAAAACAAAGAATGGTTAATTATATATATCATAACAGGTTAAACATTTTTGTTCACACATGTTATGCAAGATTGGTCAAACTTGTGAAAAGGAAAATTTAAAACGTTGAAAGCTTAACATAGGAAAAAATTCAGTCTTTGTATCTTTATTGTAACAAGTCATGCATATTATTAATTTTTAGCAGCTTTGCAGTGTTATTGAATAGACTGACGTTAAATGTCATATATTGTGTGATGTTTACCGAAAAACACGCCTTAATATATTTCATCTATACGGGATGGGATCTTGAAATACTGCTTTTTTTCTTCTTCAGGAAAACATCCGAAGACACTATGAGATTTTTGGCACACGTGCATTATACAGGTTAAAGATCGTTAAACAGGTCTTTGATAACTATCCTACAAATATTTTTCATCTTGTACAATATTTTTTATATAAAAGTTTCATAAGATAATACATACCAAATGAAAATGAAGCGATATTTTGATTGAATATGATCCTTTATAACAGTTTACAAATTTGCGCTTCAACTCTCTAGGCCAAAAATTAGCCAGAACCTATCGTTATCATTTAGAGATCAAGAGTTTTCGTTTCTTTCGTGTGTTTTTTTTTCCAAGAATTAGACAATGGGTTTGTTTCAAAAAGTTTCATGCAATTTTCACAAACTTATGTATTAAATCAATTGAAAGGTGTCTTAAAATTAAGAATAGCTAATAAGACAAATTATTAACGTTTATATTATTATCATTAATCTTTAGACTACATACCATTATCTTATTTCTATCAATCTGCATTTCACAGCTATTAAATCATATATATACGTTAAGCAAACAATATACAAACATTAATAATATATGTTGCTTCTACAATACTCTTATTGTTTTTATGTTTCTTTTTCAGTTCCATTTCTACTAAAGGGAAGTAAATTGCGTTGGTCGTGGGTTTTTATTGTAAAATAATGATCTATTTTCACACACAATCCAGTATGCGTTATTACTAATTTTTTGTTTCGTCACAAAGTATTTACTGTCCATCAGAATGAATGCTTTTCTTGACTTGTAGCTTTTCATACTAGTTACTAACTTGATGTAACCAGTTTCACAGATATTCCAATCATTTTCTTATATATACATGCGTGATCCAACGAATTTGTCGTTAAAACAGGTACTTTCACTGTCATGTCCTACAATATTTTGTGTCCGAAATACGCTAATCAACAGATATACACCTACTGCCCGTCCTGGGCACTAGACTGGGAATACAGGCGTAAAGCTATCATGGACGATATTCGACATTACTTTGCCGATATCATCACTTTACAGGTAAGATGAACACAAGTATTTATGTTATACATTTTTAAAACATCTTTTAACTCATGTTAGTGTTTATCTTTGGCGTCCCTAATGAAGAGTCCGATTTGTATGCATATCTGTATTTATCTGGGTCGAGTACTATAAAGTAAATGTTTGTCATCTATCATAAATTATAGCTCCTATAAGTGCCCCAAATGATAATAATTTGAGTGACGTTGATCTAGTTTCAAAGCCACAGCGCCTTTTGCGAAATCTAGTAAGGTAGTGCCACAAATAAACAGCGCTGGATTTACTAAACCAAATAAAGAAAAAAAACTTTACCAAATGTTTCTATAATTTTCTCAAACAAAAACATTTGGTTACACCGGTATACATACACACATATATATATATATATATATTCTTGCGAAGATAACTATAAATTATTCATAAAATAAGTAATACAAATAAATATTTCATGAAGAAATAATAAAAACTATTTGAAATGTGAGGCCAGAATGTGTTTTTCTATCGTTTGTTTTGGCACCAGGTAGAAAATAAATCAGCTTGGGAATGGAAGTAACTAGTTCAATTTACCTTAGGCCTAAATATAGAACCCTAAACAAGTTGCGGAAACACAGTTCTTTGGAACAATACCGTGACTGTCGCAGTCACTAAAATATGTTGTCTTGTACTTTAAAACCACTGTTAAGATACGTAGAATTCTGTTTGCTAGACTAAACAATGGGCAACTCAAACGTCATTGAATTTTGTTGACCAAGGAATTTTAGCTAACAAGCCTGTGCGAAAATAGAACTTGTCTTGTTTAACATGTGTATATGAATTTAAATGATTCTTTTGCGTTTTCATTGTGTAACAGAAGCTTATTTTGATGCCTGTCAAGTTCTAATTCGCTAGGATTATTACCTGTCATGATCAGGGTGCCGTTAATGAAGTTTTAAAGTTCTATAAGGCTAACAACAAATAAGCTAGTATAATGTTGTTATTGAGACCATTAATCGTGCATGTGAATTTTATAATACTTGTCCTTCAACAGACGAAAGCTAAAAATCTTCTGGTACTTGTATACATATATAGATGCATGTACATGTCTTGAGAAACATAGCGGATTGAATTTTGTGACTTCATAGAAATGGATTTAATAAGAGTGTTTAATGTTTGTTTCAGTTGTGAATTGACCATTATTCGCTTAAACTCGTGTCTTAAACATATTTTGAATGAGAAAGATATTTGTATTAAAAAAAGCGTTTGTAGGCAATTTCTGTTTGTTACTGAATGAAGAGGAACTACTTTTTATTTCTTTCCTATTCACTTCCATAAAGTAAATTCTACTTCTCCATCACAATAAGAATTGTGCCTGGCATGGCCAGGTGGATAAGGCACTCGACTCACAATCTGAGGGTCGCGGGTTCGAATCCGTA